AATAATCGTTGGGGGTGGGTAGGTGGGTGGGGGATAAAGTAACAATATCACACCCTAAAATACTAATTTAATTTAATTAATTTTACATGCTACTTAAGTAAAAGTACCATTAGCAGACTGTACTTAAAGTAGCAAAAGTATTCAATGCAGAAGCCCCATGTGAGTGTTATACTATTATATCCCATACTTTTAAATTATTGTTGATGCATTCATGTGTATGTTGCATTTTACTATTGTCACAGAGCAAGGCGGGGGTTAATTTCAGGTAGTTTAATTTTTATTTTATAAACTCATGCTTTTATAAGCTGTTAGTGGAGAAGAAGTTAAACAATGGCATCAAATGGAAATACTCAAGTAAAGCACATGTAGGCTACCTCAGATGTGTGCTTGAGTACAGTTACTTGATTAAAGTGGCGAAATAAGGGAAATGCGTATGGAAAAAAAAAGCAGATAATAACTATTCATATTATGTTGTTCTGGTTCTGGTTCTGGTTACTGGAAATAATAATAATCATTATTATTATTATTTGATTGTAATCAGCAACCCTGACACCCACAATATGGAACAAAACACTCAGATATTAACATTTTGTCTGCAGCCACTCTGCCTCTGCCTCTGTTGCCCTACAGAGGGTAACTACACTTTTATACTTGTTTGACTTCAGTGAAGTTTTTTGTTGGCAAAACGCTGCAGCCGTCTGCAGCCAGGGGACCGTGGATGGTGTGAACACGCCCCTGGAAGTCATGAATAATTCCTGTTGAGCCGAGCTCAGGGAGGTGATGTCTCTTTAAGAGGCTCAGCCCTCCACCGAAACAATCGCAGGCTACAACCCCCCAACAAGTCATCGGACCTGTCAATCATCTGGTCGGCGCCCTTTGATGTCGGGACTCCTCTCTCCCTGTCTTGGGCTCAAATGAGCTGTTTGCTGTTGTAAGGAAACATTAGTCCTCTACCAACCAAGCAGCCGGGGGACGACACATCTTAACTTTTTTTTCCCCCTGCATGTGGTGTGGTTGTTTCTGCACTTTGGAGGCGCCCCAGACTGAGGAGATTTAACAGAAAAGAAGTCCATTGATTCTTCTTCCCCCCCTTCATTTATACTTTTTTTTTATTATTATTTCATTATTATTGTTTTGTTTTTTTAAAGCGTATACTAATATCGCAGGGGGAGAAGGGAAGTAGACATGCCTCAGCTCAGCAGCGGCGGCGGGGACGACCTGGGAGCGAATGATGAGATGATAGCGTTCAAAGACGAAGGGGAGCAAGAGGAGAAAATCCAAGAAAACGCGTTCACGGAGAGAGACCTGGCCGACCTCAAGTCCTCTCTGGTGAACGAGTCGGAAATAAATCAAAGTCCGAACGCAGCGGTAGGTGGCACGGAGTGTGTGTGTGTGTGTGTGTGTGTGAGAGAGAGAGAGAGAAAGCTTTATTTTAGACGCTCCTGACAAGCGTTGAATGGAAGCGCTGTGAAATAAATGCCTTCAGGGTTACAGTAGTAACATTTCCAGAAGTTTACAAATGCCACACCGCGACAAAGACGCACCGTAAAGTATCATACGGTTGCTTTAGGGCACAATATCACTCTCTTTGACACTTTTTCTTCGGGGTTGTATCGCCCCCCCCTTCTTTAACTATTTACTGTATCTGACCCCCGTGTTGTGTTTGGGTCCCCCTTCCAGGCGGTGAGGCGGGCGCAGCAGGTCGAGCAGAGGGGCTTCGCGGAGAAGCACCGGGAGCATCTCGACGGCGGTAAGAAGAAAACAGTTTCCACACTCGCTCTCATCCGGTTTTGAGTAGCCACACACACACACACGAGAGAAGCGATTAAACCCTCCTCTGTGTCAAAGTTTAGCAGTGTTTAAGTCACGGGGGGGACACGTGTTGCAACATTAAACTTCAAAGAGTTTGTTTTTCAGGTGCACACTGCAAGACAAGGTGTCCACCGATGTCTTCGGCTCTGTAGTATATCTTTCACATCTATCACTTGGTGGGGAGGTTTCCTCTGTTTTTCTGTTTCAAATTAGCATGCATCAAGGGCCATTCAAGTGGAAATAACCTTCTTTTACGTGTTAGTTTTAACAAGGCATAGTGCAACATGGAGTCTGGGAGCCTCTTGGCCTTTATATATATTCATTAGGATGAGATGATTTCCACCTACACGCAGAGAAAATCAAGTTTCTGTCAAACATTTTCATTATCTCGATGCTACCAATGTGATCTGCTTTGTGCTTACGTATCTAAATACTTTTTTAGATTTACAGGCTTTTTGTCTTTTTGCCAAACCTGGGGTCAACAGGGGTCCTTGAGGGGTTTATTTTAACTTTAACTTTAGGCTTGCCACCCCCCAAAAGAACAGAACAATTTCACTTTCCCTCCCTGGAAGAGGGCACATTTAGAGAGATGTATACATGACAGTTTTAATTATAGGCATCAGTGTAGGCTGTACTCAGTTGTGTAACTCATTTCATAAAAGGAACACACACTACATTGTTTTCTTTTGTGCACAAATTTTCATCAAACATGCATTTGCGGTTTTTCGAATACATCTATTTGGAAAAAAGCGGAACCCACAGAAAACAATCGTGCCCGCTTTGAACGATTGCGTGATTTCGTCGCCCTGGCTCTGAAATGTTGAAAAGTTTTACCACCTTCAGAAAAGCTCTGCAAACAACAAGGGATTAGGGTGGAACGGTTAAACAAAAAAAAAAGTTTGTTGTGTGTCTCAGTGTTTTCAAGCAGACCAGGTATAACCTTGTTATAGCTGATCTGCAGAGAGGCCTCTGATGCTTAATATGGGTGGTGGTGAGAGATAAATTAACACATAGGCTTACAGGAGCTCACGCCTCTTAGGCTAAGTGACAGTTGTAACGCTTTTGTCTCAAGTATTGTAGTCTGTGCTCATGTAAGGATCTAACATGTAGTAACTAGAACACTTGTAAATAGTTGACCTACTTTGTATGCACGTTTTTCTTTTTGGATGTCAAGTTTTTCTTTTTTGTTCTGAGGCACACGGCTAAATGCTATAGCAGCATTGTGGGAGTAAGTATTAGATTTTTTAATTTTATTTTAATCCTACATACAGTGTTTCATCCATAGCTCCTGTTATTCCAACGAGCAACTTTTAGTTTTATGTGAATTTTAAATGAAATTCCAAAAAATGATCCGTCCTCTCGGAGACCAAGCAAAAAGAGTTTGGTTTAAAATAATAAGACAATCATTGGTCCCATTAAAACATTTTGAAGTTATTGAGTTTCTAACTTTAACTTTGTTGTTTTTTTCATGTCTGACCTCAGTGTCGAAGCACCAAGATGGAGGCATGTACAAGACGCCGGCATATCCAGGGTATCCGTTCCTGATGCTGCCTGACCCCTACCTCCCCAACAGCTCGGTTTCTCCATCTGTAAGTCTGCTTCTGTTTTAATTCTCCTGCTGGCTGGAGTACAATGGTCGCTGTTTGTCTCCTCATGGTTTCTTGGGTCAGTAGCTGAGGGCAGTCTGAGGTTCTTATCTGCCCCCTGTTTACATCCTACTTTGGACTCCAGTGCAAGTTTGTGCACTTCAGCTACTATTTGTACTCTTTGTCCAAACACTGTACACGTGGTTTTGTGCTTTAGTACGAGTTTCATGTGATGAACTTTTTAATAATATTCAATGTTGGTGCTGAAAGGCAGAAACAGACACTCAGGGATGGAAATGTTTTGTTGGCCGCTGGCTAGTGTTTTCTGTTTGTGGCTGAAGCAAATAGATCCTCAGTAGCCAGAATTTCATAGTAACCAATAGAGATGGTGTGGACATGTTTTTGGATAAAGGCATAAACATTTCTTCTGAATATTCCTTCTTTTCCTCATAATTTCTATTTAATCTGTTGTGCATCTGGTTTGCAACTTCCACTCACATCAGCATTAAGAAATCAGTGGTGTATTTCCGTATTAGTTGTGATCAGCATACTATGGCCTCAGCTATAATATTTTATATTTATATACATATTTTTTTTTAATATGTGAAATCTATTATGATTACATGACATACGCCTCTGTCAATAAAGCCCAAGAAACACCCCTTCACCCTTTCAGATTGCATCCTGTCAGTTTGTTTCAGTACAGCTCTCGATCTTGCCTGTAGTTTAATACAGTGAGGGCCGATTTCTGTTCAAAAGGGGCGAGAAGGTAGTGTCAGATCACGGCCGCAGTCACAAACTTTACATAAGTTCTGATTTGGCTTTGAACTGTGCCGTTTCCTCTTCTAACTGCCTTATGAAATGAAGCGGTATTTAAAATATGCTCAGTGCCGCAGCCTCGTGAGGGAAAGCAGAGAAAAGGGCTTGTTGTTGTTTACGCCTTTTGCTGAAGTCGGAATATGATCGATGTCGTCACCGTGAACCGTTTCACGTGACGTTTTCCAGCGGTTTGTACCGTGCATGAATGACAAGAAGGTTGTTGCTGCCTTTAAATAGCTGTTCTGAGTGTTAAACCACTAAAACAAACAACAGAAAGACTCGTGGAAGGATTTCAAGTCTGCAGTATCACTCATCCAGCCAGACAGCCCTAAAAAATTCATCATAAAATCCCTTCAAGTCACCCATAAGAACCAATATCCATGGATAGGCTGACTAATTGCACCAAACATGAGTGGTTGTGCCTAATTCATTTTTCACGTGCTGTGTAATCCTGTTGCCTGAATTAACCCCCTGCTCTAGCAGACAAGACGTTGCTAAACAGCAGAGATGCCTGTTTATGAGATCACATGTACTGTAGGCTGATCTAATGTGAGGCACCGTGAATTAGGAATCTTTTGCATCACGAAATCTGCATTATGGCCGGAAAATGGGATTTGCTAATGACACCTTTAAGTCTCTAGTTTTACCACAAAGTCCTCTTCCAAGTCAGGGTCAAGACCCAGCAGGCTGGTTAATGGGAGATTTAAAACGGGTCATTAAAGGTCATAAAATAATACAAGTTCTTCTCTTAAAATAATATAAATTTGAATAAACTTTCATTTTTAGTGTCATGGCATCTGTGAAAGTTGCTCTGCCACAGTGGTACAGTTCATTTGGATAAACTGTTATCAAATAGAGCTTGAGAATAACTGTGGTTAACCCTGTTTATGCCCTAACTATGACTAATTGCGTTTGTACTTGAATAATATATTTCCTCGCCCTGTTGTCGCCTGAAAGGAATGTTTGGTAGCCACTGTTTTAACATTCTGTTTTACACTCATTTTTTTCTTGAAAAGAAACTCGGAGACAATAGTAGCTCCACTTGTTTGAGTCTCAGTTTTACGTGTTACTGTGCATTTGTTTGTGAGAGCGGGACGTACATACAGCAGCACCTTCCAGGAAATCACATTCTCCTTCAGTCTGTTCATAACCCTACGCTGTGATTTGAGAATATAATTGAATGAACTGCTAGTGTTCATATTTCCTTAAACATCTTTGTGCTAATCATTGCATAATATGGCACATCCGGCATCGTGTCAGACAAACACGGTGAGCAAGTGTGATGGTATGCTTCAATGTGTCTCCACTTCTTTCACCTTGTCGTCTCACGGGCTTCTCTTTTCTTTCTCCAACCCTGGAGTGCCAACCGCAGAGCCTCTCAAGAGATTGTTTTTGTTGAGGGTGGGATGGTGTTGGCGGTGGTGGAGGGTGGCTGGGTGGGGGTTGGTGCCAAGATAAAGAGGGAACTTTCTTTCCCCCCCGTGTGTCTTCGAGACTCCACACAATGCTCACTTGTTGCTGCTTCCCTTGTAATTAGCCCGCTGGTTGTGAGGCGGTAGCGGCGTATCAGGCCCCGTCTACCTGCCACTTGAAAGGGGCTGAGAATAGTGGTTTAGAGGGTTTGAGGTGGGGGTGGGGGAGAGGGAGGGCGATGATTATGGATGGAAGAGATGGATTCGGAACTATAGGTTTGGGAGACTGAAAAAAGAGCTTGTGTTTGGTGTTTTCCCAGTGTCGTGGTGTTAATATGGGACGGGGCAGCGTATGTTACATCTTGGTCTGTGTGTGTCCATGTCTGACTGCTGTTGGCATTATGACAGAGTGTACTGTTTTACTGCTAGTTTCTTTTAGTGTTGGCAATTCAAGGAAGTGAAGTAGTTTGTTGATTTTATATTTTTGAGTAATCATTTAGTTTGCAGAATAGTGACGATTTCCCAGAGCCTGAGGTGACGCCTTCAGGTTTCTTTTTAAAACTGATGAGCTGTACAAAACTCGAAGATATTCTACATGACAATTAGGTAAAGAGCAGAAAATACTCACATTCAAGGAAATGAAAGCATACATATCTATACATTGTCTGTCAATTAATCAACAAATTGTTTCAGTACTAATAGTAATTTTTATGGGGCCTTCTTGGTCCATTTATCTGTAACATAACATAACATAGACACCAAATCATCCCTCTGTTCCTGTTAGATGATTTGCTCCTATGCTTCATGCTAATATTTTATCAACAAAAAGTAATTAATGAGTTTTAATATATGTCCTGAAGGTTGCTAAACAATATATATATATAGATTCAATTTGGCCAGTCTTTTCCATATCTGTTTCAGCTGAGCAAGAGATTTTTATTCTGTTTGGAATTGAAATAATTAGTCGGTAAATCAATTAATTGATCGACAGAAAATGAATCTAATTAAAGATGAATATCTGTGGGTTTTGGACTGTTGGTCGGACAACGGAAAACAATTAAAGACGTTACCTTGGGCTCTCTTTTGATTACTCAAGAAAAGAATCTGTAGATGAATCGATAATGAAAATAATCATTTGTTAATTCTGTTGCTATTCTATTCTCTTGTGAATGATGTTTGCAACCAGTTTGTTGAGAGGCAGTGACGGCAATCTTCCATAAGTCAGTTGCAGACTGAATGTTGTCTGCATTTACCAGCTTAACAACAACATGGGCAGTTTCTCAAAACCTCTGTGTGTTCCCGTCAACTAATTTAACCTGTTAAACTCATTCTGAGAGCATCAACTGAGTAACTGTAAGTCAGATATTAACTATTTTTGTCTGTCTGTATCTTTCCCACCCCTGCCCTGGGCATTGTGGGGTCATCTTTTATTGTATGTAACTAATCTAATAATAACATTTTTAAACATTTTTTGGGGCATTTTGCTTTATTGGATAGTGACAGTAGAGAGAAAGAGGATAGGCAGAGAGGAGAGAAAGAGAGAGAGAGAGTGGATGACATGCAACAAAGGGTCCGTGGCTGGATTTGAACCCGGGCCGCTGTGGTAAGGCCTTGATGTGTGGTACACGCTCTTAACAGTGAGCTACCAGGGCGCCCCTAAGTCCACTTCTATCTCAGCTTTTGTTGTATTTAAATCAGAACACGTCCAAGATGGCCAACGATTGTCTCCGTCTGATCTCGACCGTCGGGGGGTCACATTGCATTTCACAGAACGGGAGCAAAAACAAAACATTCCCAGAGCTGTTGTTATTCTGAAAAGATTAACATATTATTTTCCACGTTCACCCGAACCAGAATGTCTGAAAGAGACACAAAGGATGGATAAATCACAGCCCTTATTCTTCTGGTATTAATGTTAACATCTCATTTTTAAAAAAGGCTTCTGATCTCTGTTGAGAAGTGAAGACTGAACACTGGAGAGGCTGTGTATTAACGTGTATTCCCTCCTTATCCTATTCAGTGATAATACTCATATTACAGCATTTCATGGGACATTTCACTGTTGTTACATTAATGTAGATATCAGCAATCCTTTCAGAGGAAGTGGCCAAAGAGGGAGATTTGTGGGATTCAGAGATATGACTAAACTCAGCTTGTTGTCTTTGGATGAAGCTTTATCCGGAGTGTGTAAGACAGTGCATATTGTGTGTGTGTGTTTGTGTGTGTTTGCTGTTTCAGTTCATTACACTAAGTAGTTTGTATGTATCTATGGTTTTGGCATGTCTTATGTGAGTGTGTGTGTGTGTGTGTGTGTGTCTTCATCTACATGTTTTCCACCCTCCTCAAGTTTGCTGCCGTAGGCTTGTGTTTGTATCCAGGGTTCATGGTGTGTTTTATGCACTAATGTTTGCTGTATGGTTTGTGTGTGTGTGTGTGTGTGTGTGTTTGTAGCCAGAGTTTGTGGATGCAGCAGTATGTGTGTTAGACCATCGCTGGCTGTGTGTGTATAATGCTGTGGATTACCAGCAGACCGTGTTTTTGAAGGGATCATGAGTCTTTGTCATCTCGAGGAGTCAAACCCCAGCGGAGGGGAGATTGTCAATAATAACTGAGCATCTTCCTCTCTTCGGCATCCATCCATGTTTTCTGCCTACTCCCTATATTTGCCTTTTCCACCTATCCATCTCTTTTTTGGGGGGGGTACGTGCTGCCTTCATCTTAGCAGGTTCTAAGCATCTGTTTGCTCCAATTCAACTTAATTTCATGATTTTT